GAGGAGGAAAAAGGAGGAGGAGGAAAAAGGAGGAGGAGGAGGAGGAGAAGGAGGAGGAGGAGGAGGAGGAGGAGGAGGAGGAGGAGGAGAAGGAGAAGGAGAAGGAGAAGGAGAAGGAGAAGGAGGAGAAGAAGAAGAAGAAGAAGAAGAAGAAGAAGAAGAAGAAGAAGAAGAAGAAGAAGAAGAAGAAGAAGAAGAAGAAGAAGAAGAAGAAGAAACAACAACAACAACAACAACAATAGCAACTGTGGGGTCCTTGGTACTCTCTGAGCTGGGTGGTTTCCTTGCAGATGTTTAATTACCCAACTAGATAACACCATCAGTGCTAGAAGTGAGGTTTGTAGAGGAGGAGGACTGTGGGAAAAAGAAGAAGGGGAAAAAGGAGGGGAAGATGAAGATGACAATGATGAAGGAGAAGGAGGAGGGGAAGAAGAGGAAGGAGGAGGAGGGGAAGAAAAAAGGAGAAGGAGGAGGAGAGAGCGGAAGAAGAATAGAGGAGACGCTTCATGACCCAACTAGGTACCATCATCAAAGGGAAAAGGAGGAGGAAGAGTTTTCTTACAGACGTTTCATGACCCGACTAGTTAATATTATCAGTGCTAGAAGGGGATGGGGCTTGTGTCAAAGAGGAGAAGGAGAAGAGGAGGAAGAGGAGGAGGAGAAAGGAGTAGGAAGGGAAGGAAGGAAGGAGAAGGAAAAGGACTGTGGGGTCCTCTGAACTTGGTTGTTCTCTTGCAGACATTTCATGACCCAAGTAGGGAACATGACAGAAGTAGAAGGGGAGGTTAAGTTCTGTGTATATATTGGTGGCTTGCCCTGCCAAGGTTGGTGGGAAGGTCCTTGGGGATCCCTTGACAAAGCTGTTGCTTATTGTTCAATTGTTCATTTGAATTGATAGTCCCTCGACTGGGGCCTTGTTTACACCTCGGTGTTAATCTCTGCTTATCGGGACCTTGTTTGCTGGTGAGGAGGTTCGACCCTGAGCTACAAATATCATTTTCTCTGGGTGCGAGATAAGGTTAGTAGAAAGTCTGTGGAAACTCTCCATCATCCAGGTCGTAGCTGTCCCAAAGGTGCCTTGAGGGAACTGGACTGTCTGCTTTTTTCTTTTAAAGACGTTTCGCTTCTCCACCAAGAAGCTTCTTCAGCTCTGACTGGGGAACGGAAGGATTTCTACTCCTTGCAGACAGCTGGTCGTTTGCATCCTTTTCAGAGAGTCGTTGAGGCCACTTGGAGGTTTGTCTCTGTCCTCAGTTGTCCCAGAGGTGCTTTTTCAAGAGGCAACTGGACTTTCTTTGTTTTGCCTTGAAGACGTTTCGCTTCTCATCCCAGAAGCTTCTTCAGCTCTGACTGGATGGTGGGGAAGGGAAGGATTGACACTCCTTGCAGACAGCTGGTCATTTGCATCCTTTTTAGAGAGACGTTGAGGCCACTTGGTGGTTTGTCTGTGTCCTCAGGGTCACACCTGAGTGGTGCAAAGGGGTTTGGAGCAAAAGGACTGTGCAGTTCCAAGAAGGCTGCACATCTCTTGGCACCAACTCAGATGACCCTTAGGCAGATAAACCTCCAAGGGGCCTCAATGACTTGCTAAAAGGATGCAAATGACCAGCTTTGTCCGCAAGGAAGATAAATCCTTCTACTCCCTACCAGCCCAGTCAAGAGTTGAAGAAGCTTCTTGGGTGAGAAGCGAAACGTCTTCAAAAGAAAAAGCTAGCAGAAAGGGAATTTCGCCAGAAAATGAAGAGGGAACTTCAGCCTACCAGGTGTGTAACTAAAGTGAACACATTAGGCCGAGTGTAATAAGGATGGAAGGTAGCAACGTGGAAAGGAAGTCTTTCAAAGACAGCAACAGAGGACTGGCAACTTGCTTAAAACAAACGAACAAGCAAACAGAGACAAAGGCAGATATCTTAAGGCACTGAAATGAACCATCATTTTCTTGCTGGATACTTACCTACATACCAGACGATCCAGCACGAAATATTGTAATAGGAACTTATCAGTTTTCCAGACCTAGGACAAGAGAAAGGCACAGGTTGGCATTCTTATTTCTGTTTTTTTCAGACTTTCACAATGCCATAAGATAGTCCTTGACTTATGACAACGGAGACCCGAATTTCTGTCGCTAAACAAGGCGGTTATTAAGGGAATTGTGTCAAATTGATGCCCTGTGTTTTTTTTAACCGCCATTACGAAGCACAAATAGCTACAGTTGTTCAATGAATTAGATGGTCATTCCTTCATGGATAGAGCCCTAATTTTGATTATGTGACCTTGGGGATGCTGGGATAGTCGTAAGTGTGAGGACTGGTGGTAAGTCACCTTTTTCCCCCTGGTGTCGTTGTAACTTCAAACAATAAACGGTTGTTAGCCAGAAAATACAGGTAGTCCTTGACTTACAACCATAATGGAGCCTGCCATTATCAGGGTCGTAAGTCGAGGACTATATTTTCAGACAGTGATAAAAACAAATCATGGTCGTTCAATGGAACCCACAGCCATTAAGTCATCATGTGACTGCATGTCATAACTTGGGACAGTCATACACACGGAGGATAAAATATATGAAGAACCGTTGCAGGAACTGAGAACATCTACTTTATTGAAGAGGAACGTGGGGGCTCAGGGGCTAAGACGCTGAGCTTGTCGATCAGAAAGGTCGGCAGTTCGGCGGTTCGAATCCCCAGCGCCACGTCATGGAGTGAGCTCCCGTTCCTTGTCTCAGCTTTCTGCCAACCTAGCAGTTCGAAAGCAGGTTAAAAAGGTGCAAGTAGAAAAATAGGGACCCCTTTGGTGGGAAGGGAACGGCGTTCCGTGCGCCTTTGGCGTTGAGTCCTGCTGGCCACATGACCACGGAGACGTCTCCGGACAGCGCTGGCTCTTCTTCGGCTTTGTAACGGAGGTGAGCAGCGCCCCCTGGAGCTGGAAACGACGAGCACGTATTTGCGAGGGCAACTTTTACCTTAATGAAAAGCAGGACTGGGAGTGACATGATAGCAGCGTTCCAGTATCTCAGGGGCAGCCCTAAAGAAGAGGGAGTCAAACTATTCTCCAAAGCACCTGAGGGCAGGACAAGAAACAATGGATGGAAACTGATCAAGGAGAGAAGCAACTTAGAACTAGGAGAAATTTCCTAACCATGAGAACAATTAACCCGTGGAACAACTTGCCACTAGAAGTTGTGGATGCTCCCAACATTTTTTAGGAAGAGCAACCATTTGCCTGGAACGGTCTAGGGTAGTGTTGGCGAACCTTTTCGACATCGAGTGCTGAAATGGGAGCATGGGAGCGCATGTGTACACCAGAAACTGAAAGAGCAGCATGCGTACTCTTGGAAGCTGAGCTTCCGGTTTCTGGCGCTGCCGCGTGCATGAAGTAGCAACCGGCCGACGCGCATGTGCTCCCCAGAAACTGTAAGAGCAACAGGAGACGGCTGATGTGCTCGGAGAGAAGGCTCTGCATGCCACTTCCAGCATGTGTGGCAGTCATGCCCTTGTTGGAATCTGACTCTGAGGGGGAGATTGAGCAGCTGACAGGGAGTGGGAGTGTGGCTCCTGTGGGAGTGGAGGAAACTGGGGAAGGGCACACAGCCCGGCTGGGCATTGAGAGGAAGGCCTTCATCCTAGGGCAGGCAGGGAAAAATGGAGAAGGGAGCAAGGTGGCTTACGGGAGAGAAAAAGGCCCTGATCCCTTTCATTAGTTGCAGCTGGGAGAACAGGATATAAGTGGGGCGTTTGCACACAGCTCCTTGCTGGAAGCAAAGCGTGCCTTATCTTTGTCAGGCTTACCTGGCTTTTAGCGTCCTCCCAACTGTGGGTGCTACGTTATCTTTGGAAGTCTGCAATTTATCATCCTGGTCTGTCGTGTTAAGTGGTTTGTGTTGGGTTTTTTAAATTTCTAATTATCTTTACTTTGGGTTTAGACTGCATTTCTGCCCTTCATAGACTGTTTTCTGAAGAGTTTGATATCCAGCCAAGGATAATTGGACATTGGGGGCCAAGCTGGAGGCAATAAAGGGAATTTATTCTACGTTGGTGACTTTTGTTATTTTTGTGTCACACCCTGGGCCGTCACAGTGGCGTAGGTTCACCATCACGGGTCTAGGGTCTCCTGCTTCAGCAGGGGGCTGGACTAGAAGGCCCCCGGGGTCCCTTCCAACTCTATTATTCTGTTATTCAGTCAAGCAAGCTCTCCAGCTTACATTTCCGTGTAGATCATGCCAGCGAGTGACAGGTTGAGAATCCCCCAGACCAAAAGGACTTTTCTGGCTTCCGTTTCCTTCCTCATCTTGATGGTCCTGTCAATCAGGCACTCGGGTGGATTTCGTTCCCCCTGCATTGTCTAGAAAGAAGAGGAAGAGAACATAAAATTGTTATTCCTTCCATTCGTATGCCGTCCCTTTGAGTACAGGTAGTCCTCGACTTACAATACATTTATGATTATGATTATTTGATAATAATAATTATTTGAAGCTACAACAGGATGGGAAAGTAGGGACTTAGGACCGTTTTTCACTCTTACGACCGTTACAGCCTCTCCATGATCTATTCTGACCTCGGCTTCCCCAAAAGGCACGAAGCAGACTCTTTGTCCCAGCAAAACCCCTTTTATGAAACGAAGGTGAATTTCTTGCATTCGCATTCAGCCCTTTAAAGGCCTGGCAAACTGTCTTTCAAGGGTCTGATTAGGAGCACAGACCTCATCTCGCCTGGAGAGCTGCCAAGTAACTATTTCCAAACGCAGTGCTGACAAGGAAGGACTCAGCACAGAGACCTTGAGATGCACAGACAGATCTTCCCACGGCTGCAACCAACAAATGGTTTCCTGCAAAAGACCCCTCCCCTTTTGCTCCTCTTTTAATCCCTATGGGAGGGGCCATTCACCATCCACCTGTGGCCTTACTCCCTTGTTCCTTAGCTGTTCCCTTCTCCTGGCAGCTCTGTGCATGCGCACACTGGGAACAGGCTCCAGCTATTCTTCTGCCTCACTGATCTCCGACTCCGAAGGCAGCTGATAACTGTCGGATGGCCCTGGCCCCATCTCTGCCTCGTGTTCCTTAGTTGTTCCCTTCTTCTGGCAGCTCTGCACATGTGCGCACTTGGAACAGGCTCCAGCTGTTCTTCTGCCCCACTGAACTCCGAAGGCAGCTGATAACTGTCGGATGGCCCCAGCCCCATCTCTACCTCCGACGCAGAACCTTCGTCAGAGCCTTCCTCAGCCTCCAGGACTGGCCCAGGTTCCCCCCCAACTTCCTCACTCTCCGAGTCTGCTGCCAGCTCCACTAGCCACTGGTGGGGCACAACACGATCATCGGATCAGAATTCAGATGCTTGGCAACGGACTCATAATTATGACGGTCAGTGTCCCTGGGGTTTATAGGGATCCCCTTTTGCGACCGCCTGATCAGCCAAGCGTTGGGGGACAAAAGAGAAAGAGAAGTTAGAAGAGTGACATGTTCTGTATTTACTGTAGGGAATCCTCTTAGTGACAGTTCGAAGTTACAAGAGTATTGAAAAAAGTGACTTACGACCATTTTTCACACTTACGACCATTGCCGCATCCCTACAATCACGTGATTTACATTCGGATGCTTGGCAATGGACTCATATTTACAACGGTTGTAGCATCCCCCCTCCGGGTCCCATGATTCCCCTTTCGCTCCCTTCTGACAAACAAAGTCAAGGGCGAAGCCAGATTCACGTAACATTCACTTAAGAACTCTGACAAGAAAGTTCATAAAACGGGACACAATTCACTTAACAACTGCCTCGCTTGGCAACCCAAATTTTCAGGCTCAGTTGTGGGTCGTAAGTAGGTGAGTTACCTGTACTTCCTTTTTGTAGAAACCCTGTTTTGCATCAGATTCACTTAACAACTGGGCTACAATCGCAGCGATTCACTTCACCGCCATGTGCGAATAGGTAGCAATATAAATTTTCTAAATAACAATAAATCTATCTATATAAAAGCAAAATTCCACTCATGCATCATCACAAAATCTCCAGGACTGTACGCAAAGCCTACAAACTTGAAATTTGGCACGTAGGTTCCTCTTGGCTTCTAGGGGCTCACTAAGAAAGGATTTTTTGAAATGGCAATCGGAGCATTTAGAGTATTTCCATTATTATTATTATTATTATTATTATTATTATTATTATTATTATTATTATTATTAACACGCTCTGATGCTAAGTTCTACTCCCCTGTCCCCACCTGAAATCTCTTCCCAAATGCAAAACACAGAGGAGTCTCAGTTTCAGAGCAGCAACCAGCTTTAGTGCAGAACAGTTGAGCCAAGCCGTGCACAGCCTCCTTGCTGTCTCCTCCTTGCTCACAGCAAATACTGTTTCAATTCCTGAACAGCCCTCAACTCTCACACACACATTGACAGGATGCTAGCCAGATGAATACTGATGGATGCTGGTAGGCAGAATTTTGCCCCCTGCCCCTTATTTTCCTCCCAACACTTAAGCCCTATCGAGCTAGTAAATAAATCAATCACCAACGTGGCGAGAATAGTTGCAAAAGTGGAGCAACCTCACTTTAACAAACTTCATACTTAACAACATAAATCGGGCTCCACTGTGGTGGTAAGTTGAGGACTAGCTGGGTTTGAGAGCGTTTCGCCTAAGTTGGGATCAACAGCGCCATCGTGAGGCTGCCCAGGGAAAAATCAATGAAATGAATGAATGAATGAATGTTATCTGAGTCAACGGGGAGGAGTTCCCTGTCCCCCCCCCCCGTCCGCACGCTCAGCCCCACAAAACCTAACCACCATTGTGCCTACCCCACGTTCACACGTTGCGCGCACGAAGACGCCAGATCGGATCCAAGCATGCCATCTCCCGCTGCAAAGACAAAACGCGGCGGCGCGTTTAGATGACGCAGGGCAGAATCGGGAGGACGCCTTTTAAGCGCGGCGTTGGGAAACGACGCCGTGGCGCGAGGGATCCTGGGAGTCGTGGTCCAACTCCTCTCGCGGGCGCCATATTGGGAGGCGGGGCTTCACGTGGATTAGCTTTTTTTAACCTCGTGGTGCCGGTCGGAGGGGGCTGCGGGGCTAGGAGATCCCCATTCCACACACACACATACGTCAAAACGGGGCGGAAAGAGCATGCGCGCTCCCGATAACGGAGGAGAAAAATACAATCAAGCGGCCCCCCCCCCCCCCAAATTATCCCGCACCCTTCCTCTCGCTTACCAGCACGGATTCGCCTTCTTTGCCCGAACTGCGCCTGCGCAGCGAGATTTTCCTTCCTTTCCCCCCCACCCCACTTTTACGGGCAAGCGAGGAACGAGGACGCCGCGGCGAAGGCGGGCTTTGTTGTCGAGGCGACGGGCGCTTAAAGGGGAGATTTGTGGCCGTCCTCGTGATCACCGCCGATTGGTCGAGCCTCTCTGACGTTTTGGCGGCAGAATTTGAAAGGGTCAAATGCCTGCTGGGTTTGAGGCGATTTTTCTGATTTCCTCAAAATGTTTTATGAGGCGCTGAGTTTGGGATTTTAGCTGGATTCATGGAGAGGGAGGGTTCCAAGAGGAATCCACCCTTGTGATAGATCTTCAAGGAGTAGAATGCAAGCACAAAAGAAATAAACCATGGCTTGTCTAACCATGATAGCATTCATACAATATCTGTCAAGCCATCAATCCAGTTGAGGTTTACAATCACCAACTGGGTTTACTCAGACATGCCTTGTCTAACCATGATAATATTCACACAGTTCTAAAGTTCTGTCAATCCAATTGTGATTTACAACAAGCTGTGTTCACAAAGGACCTTAACCCTGGCTTCTTTAACAATATCATTCAGGCTATATTGACAGCCATTGATCCAATCATGCTTATAATCACAAGCTGAATTCATACTACAGGGTCTAGACCATAGCTTGTCTAACTATGATAGCATTCACAATGTCTGAAGCCATCCAATCATAGTTCAACCACAAGCTGGTTCACTCAGGACCTAAACCATGCCTTGTCTAACCATAATAGTGTTCACACAATGTCTGAAGCCATCAATCCAATGATGGTTTAACCACAAGCTGGTTCACTCAGGACCTAAACCATGCCTTGTCTAACCATAATAGTGTTCACACAATGTCTGAAGCCATCAATCCAATGATGGTCTAACCACAAGCTGGTTCACTCAGGACCTAAACTATGCAGGTCTAACCATAATAGTATTCACACACCATCTGAAGCCATCACCCCAATCATGGTTTGTCTACAAGCCAAGTTCACTCAATTCCTAAACCGTATGGCTCATATAACCACGATAGCATTCCCACAATGTCCAAATATAGCAATCCATCCGATTCATGTTTTCACATTGTGGTGGCTGGATTGTCCTAACAGGCTAAGCCCTAATTCACCCAGCAATGTTATTTATTATGACTGTGTCATCTGAATGTGACCACACCAACCCAGAAAATCTTGTGCAGCATTTTATGAGCTTGCACAAGTCCTAATGGCATGTTGCATGCCATGATACCATGATATGTCACTCCCCACTCCACAGACATGCATGCATTGCCTTGTCTTCCATCATTTGTCCTTGATTATGAGAACATGTCCCTTCATGTTTTTTCCAAACCCAGGGAATTATTTGCTCCTTCAGGTGACATGGATGGATATACCTCCATATGCCAATCAATCAATCAGAATAGAGCTGAAAGGGCCCTTGGAGGTCTTCTAGTCCAACTCCTTGCTCACGCAGGAGACCCGATCCCATTTCAGATAGGTGGCCATCCAGTCTCTTCTTAAAAATGGAACACCCACAACTTCTGAAGTTTAATTGTTCTCTCTTCCGGTTAATTGTTCTTCCTGTTAGGAAGTTTCTCCTTAATTCCAGGTTGCTTCTCTCCTTGATTAGTTTCCACCCATGGTTTCCTTTTGACAATGATGTTATCCATTCAGTTGTATCCAACTCTTGATGATCCTATAGACCAGGTATTTCCATGTATTTTGATCTTGCAATGCTTCTTTGAGTTGTTTTCTGCTCTGGCTGGTGTCAGCTTTGATGGTGCCGACCTCCTTTGACCACTAATTCTTCCAGGCAAAATTGCTTTCTCCAGTGAATTCCTCTGCATGATGTGGCCAAAATAAGTTGAGACGCAATTTCGTGATTTTGCCTTCCAATAATACGTCTGGTGTTATGCATTCCAGAGCTTGCTTGTTAATCGCCTTTGCTGTCCAAGTGTGGAAGTGTGGGAGTCTTCAATAGCACCAACAGCTCAAATGATTTTCTTCCTGTCTTCCTTTCTTAAGGTCCAACTTTCACAACCATAGGTAGCTACCGAGAACATCATGTGGGCTAACGTGTGTTTTGGTTGCCAGGCTGAAGTCCTTTGTCTTCCAGCAATCATGCAACAATCCATATGCAACAATTTGTTTGTAAAGTGCATTCTTCACTTCCAAAATTGCTACAAGGTGTGATGGCCACTAAGACGGCCATTTTAAGAGGAGATTGAATACATTCATTGGTGACAGGCCCCACAGTATTAGCGTACTTTTAGATTGGGGCCAGCCAAACTTCAACTATAGGAGAACAACCGTAAGGAGAGAGATGGATCTCCATCTTCTTGTCAACATCTGCAGGTATCAAGTAAGGAGAAACCAAACCTGAACTAGGATAGGTGTTGGCCTGATCCAACAAACCTGTTCCTAGGTTTTCTGAACATCTTTCCCACAAGACAATGTTGTGGGCCATCATCTTGGGCAGCTTGTAACTAGAGATGGGATAAATTCATGAAGGAACGGTCAATTGGGCCTTGAAGACTCCATACTACGTCTAGGTTGGGGGCATCATTTCTCCAAATAGCAGCTGTAGAAGACCAACAGTGGAAGAGAGAGATGGGTCTCCATCTCCTGGTTGAGAACATCTCAAAACCCCCTGCGAAAAAGCAGATTTACAGATTAACAGAGTTGGAAGGGACCTTGTAGGTCATCTAGTCCAACCCCCCGTCTGCACCACAACTTCCGGAGGCAACTTCTGTTCCATTGGTTGATTGCTCTCATTGTCAGAAAATTCTTCCTTATTTCTAAGTTGAATCTCTCCTTGATCAATTTCCATCCATTATTCCTTCTCTGGTCTTCAGGTCCTTTGGAAAACAGGTTGACCCCTTCCTCCTCTCTGTGGCAGCCCCTCAAATATTGGAACACTGCTATTCTGTCTCCCCTGGTCCTTCTCTTCACTAGACTAGCCAGGCCCAGTTCCTGCAACCATTCTTCATAGGTTTTAGCCTCCAGCCCCCTAATCCTCTTGGTTGCTCTTCACTCTTTCTAGAGTCTCAACCTCTTTTTTATAGTGTGGTGACCAAAACTGGATGCAGTACTCTAGGTGTGGTCTTACTAAGGCTTTGTAGAGTGGTATTAGTACCTCACTTGATCTTGATTGTATCCTTCTGTTAATGCAACTTAGGGTTGCATTGGCTTTTTTGGCTGCTGCCGCACACGGCTGGCTCCTTAGTTGGGCAACTTAGCTGGACAACTTTAGCTGGTTGCCCACGAAGACTCCAAGATCCCTCTCACAGTTACTGCTACCCAGCTGGATCTTGACCTGTTCCAGCAATGGTAATCTTCTGATACCCAACAAGTTCATTACAGCATCGCAAAACACAACAAGTCCATTACAAACTCCAAAAGTTAGACAGGCTATTCAAAGAAAGCTTGGTGGTCTCCACAGTTACAAGAATGCTCCAGAACCAAGGTTCTAGGTCTTGCAGATCACAGCCTGGGAAACTGGGCGTGTCAACACAATCCGTTGCTTGGCCACTGGACCGCTTGCTGCCTTGGTTCCCATTTTCTCGGGAGCCTTTATTTGACATTTTCTGCAAAGCAAGGTTTTTCTCTGATGGCTTTTCCTTTTCTTTATTCCTGGTGGCATTATTCCGACAAAGGGCATATGGTCTCCGACCCCCGCCAGGAAATCCCTTGTGAGGAGGAAGAGGAGGAAGATGAAGAAATTTGTTGGTTCCTGGGAGAGATGCTGCTTTTTTACTGTTTGGCTGTCCTCGTTCTAAAACTCGGTTCCCTCGGGGCAAAGAGGGTAAGAGTTGGTGATTCGTTGTATTGTGTTATTTGAGGAGAGGACCTCAAGCGATTAAAAAAACAACCTTCCTTGAAACAGCGCGGCTGTGTTATGCCCATAACAGACAACCAAAACATCCAAAAAGATTCATGGAACCAGTCCTCAAAAGCTAAAATCTGCTGGTATGGTTGCAGGAACCTACAGATAGACTGCTCCTGCACGTGAAGCCTGATGCGATGACGCAATGGGGCACGACACAAAGGCAACACAGTCAGATAATCAGTAGAGTCCTTTTATTAGCTCCAAGTTTTTCCCCAATGTCCTGGTTACCTTCTGGCTGCAATAAAACTCTCCCAAGAACAGCCTTTGGCTGCAGGGAATCGAGTCCAAAACGTGGTCAACAAAAGCTGTAACTATAAGTCCAATCAAGGCAAGATGAGGTAATTAGTCAGGAGCAAGAATTCCAGACATAAAGGCGTGGCAAAACTCACATGGTTGGGAAGACACCAGGAACACAGATAACTAAAGTCAACACAAGATAAACTCATGGTTGCTCCCAGCGGCCGCCGCATTCAGCATGCATTTCTTTTAAACTCTCATTCCCAGCTGTGGCTAATGAAGGGGATCAGGGCCTTTTCTTCCCCCATAAGCCACGCAATCCACGTTACTCCCTTCTCCATTCCTCCCTGCGTGCCCTAGGATGAAGAGGGGGTGGGCCTGGGTCTTCCTCCAAATTCCCTCTCCCTTGTTCTACCTCTTCCTTGCTCTGCCCAGTCGGACTTTGCCATTCCCCAGTTTCCTCCACAGCCAACGGAGCCACACTCCCACTCCCTGTCAGCTGTTCGTCTTCCTCCTCAGATTCAGACTCCGACAGGGGCATGACACCTCCTCGTGATAAGCTGAAAACAACACAGGTAGTCCTGGACTTAACAGCTGCAGCGATTCACTTAACAAGGGTGGCAAGAAAGGTTGTAAAACGGGAAAACTCACTTAACAACAGCCTTGCTTAGCAATCAACATTTTGGAGTCAATTGTAAGCCAGGGACTACCATATTTCCCTGAAAATAAGACCCTGTCTTATATTTTTTTTGCCACCCAAAAAGGGAGTAGGTCTTATTTTGGGGGGACGTCCTCCACTGACTCACCTCACATGTCGTGCTTTTCCCCCAGCCTCCATTTCGCTGTAGGGACAGATAACAGATAACAAATAATCAGAGTT